GGATAAATTAAAAATGTCTTCTTTTTGTAAGTTGCTGAGGTCAAAGCTCATTCAAGAAATTCCAGTCTCACGTAGTATTTGTAATGGACACGGCTTTCGAGATGTTGTTTTCAAATACCATCGCTGTTTACACAGTCAATTCMAAGCTCGGTTGCTGGGGAACACTTTTAAGAAGCCAAGCACATTAGTTAGTTCAAATGAACAATTATTACGTCGTTTTGTGTCTTCAAAAAGACGTTTAGAAAGGCAGTCAAAATATAAAATACCAGACGAACTTTGGGTATTACTTATAGTAGGTGAGAATAATATGTGATGTAATTATACAGTGAATAATGCATAGGCTGGTGAGAGGGGAGAGAGGGCCAATGTAGTAAGGATTAACCTTACAACAGGATTAATCTTCTACTTATATTTCGTTATCAAAAATAAATAGCCTCTGGTAGGAAGTTGTAGGAGCTTGTTCTCTAAGCCTTTTTTCCTGATTGGTCTATCCACTGAGATTGACCAATAAAAATTGAGATAAGTTTTCAAAGGTAAAAAAAAAACATGACTGTAGAGTGATGAGCCTCCTAGATTTTCAACRAAATGCTTCAAGGTAGAAATTGCTCAAGAAATGAATATTGGAGAGTAAAATTAGTATAGCTCTTCACAAACAAAAAATGTGCTTTATGACCAGAGTTGTCACTGTATGTTTGCGCATACTTTTGTACTGGCCAATTCAGAAAGAGATGAACAAGCAAAAAAGAAGRTTATACTTAGTTCCCAATGATGCTTACATCAATTGTAAGAGACTTTATCAATTATAATTTTATTCAAATTATGAAAATTTTAACAATTTTAGGTCTTGGTGGTGTTGGAGTTTTCACKTTTACTTTTTACAAGAAAAAAGAAATTCGAATTAAAAAAAGCACAGATATGCAATTGAAACTTGCTAAAGCGAAGGTAAGGTTAAAATGTTAAAATCATCAGCACCAATGAGGATTGGCAGAGGTGCCGAGCCATGTCACGCTGCAGACCAACCTTATATAAGGTGTCCATGGTAAAAATGCTCGGACCACCACGTGGTACCTGTCACACTGTAAAACAGTGGAATTTATACTTATCCCAGCGGAGGGATGGAGGTTGCTTTCACATACACGCTTCGATGCACAGCAAGCAAGCAAGCAGGAAATACCGTGTGGCCCTGAAAGCAATTGGGGACATCCCACATTGCATTGAGCACATCTCTCACATCTCAGATGCAAATAGTCACATACAACCCATCACACCCTCACATGTAAGACAGCTTTGTATCCGAGTTAGAGTGCCTTGATTTTAACTTAGCCTTAAATGTACATGTATAATTGTACAAACACTAAAAGCGTGCAACATTTTGCACTATTTACTACAAAATAGCGCTAATTAAACAATATAGAAAACAATAGAACTAGCATAAGTTGGCAATGTTTAGTGGTATTTACGTTGGTGTGAATAGTTTTAGTGTTTGTACTCTAATGGTCTATCAGAGTGTGTGAACATATCTGCTATTGTTTTTTAGCAATGCCTCCAAAATGAAGAGAAAGAAGAAGCATTCACTTTACTGAAAGAAGTATTGTCAATGATACACAATGAAATAGCTGAAAAGCAGCAAGACACGGTGAAAAAAGGCAAAAGACCATTTCACAAAGCATTGAAATATGTCCTTGACCAGGTACTTATTTTATTAATTATTTATGTACATATGTCATGTGGGATTATGATACCAAATGATGTTATGAACACATAAAATGTTACATGTACTTATATTTCTAACTTAATTTAATCCCCTCAGTTAGTAATGTTTTTTCTGTGGCTTAATGTTACTGTCATTACTGTTGTGCACACGGGAAAGTAGCACCAGGAGCAAATGCTCAGTTTGTGCAGGGATTGTGTTGTGTAAATGGAAAAGGATGTACAAACTTCCATGGATATTGAATTCAAGCAAAATGATTTATGTTGTATTTTGTTATCAAGTCAGCAAATTTGGCAATAGATTTGGAAAAGTGGGAAGAGGTAAGAGCATGCTTATAATGGAATATTACAACAGTAATTTAGCAATAACTTAAACTACAATAACCGTTGAACTCCATGGAACTTTCTTTAAATGTTTTCTTGATTTCATTTTTTCTTATAGGCTGAACATTATCTTCGTCTGACATTGCAAGAAGTTCTTTCTTCAGGAACTCCAAAAGTAATTATAACTGTAGATAATATGATGCTATTCTCTAGGGCTTTGTGTACATTGAATGGCTGTGAGTGTCTCTGATCATTGTTTCGACTTTTGTGCCGACGGTACTGAAAGGGACTTAATTGTGAAAGTTTAATCAAATTTATACTTATTTTTTTCCTTATAGAATGATGATGCTGTAATTGAACTTTCTTTAAARTTATCACAAGCTTGTGAAAAACAAGGAAAGTAAGTATTAAATTATTAACATTTAAATTGATGATTTTAACCATTGAATTTTTTAAAAGTCAAATTAAATTAGCCTTATGCGTATAATCAAGGTTTGTTATTCCRAACTGGTTCTTAATTGGACACTGATAAGTACATGTTTGATTACAATTCAGRAATGAGTTAGCTGCAGAAGGATATCAGTGGTGCGTTGATACTGCTGGTGATAATATTRATCAAGCTGATGAAGCTGATGATAATAGGTATGTGTATGTACATTTTAAGGAATAAAAGACAAAATTCCGTGTTTGATACTCTGATCAAAACATGCGGGACGTAGGGAGAGCACGAGAGAAGCATTGGAAACCACGACGCGCAGCTTTCTAAAATTAAAAGAATTCTGAATTTGTGTTTTTTGACTGAGTTGTCAAGAATTTTGTCTATGTGGTTGTCGTCTATCTCTGTAGTTGCTTCTGCAGCTTCTGTAGCTTCTAAAACGTTTGATAGTTCTTCTTCTGGGATATCATCCCAGAGGACATCATAAATAGGCATTTCTTCGTTCTTGAAAATGAATGATAACAACAACAAATGCAAACGGCGGGAAAAAATGTTTTGATGCGCGCGAGCGTGTTTTGATACTGTAATCAAACATGGTTTTCAACCAATCACAGCGCGTAGTATCCTAAATATTTTAGAAAACATAAAGGGGAGTTTTCTCAAGCTAATGAAAAAGATAAAATATAACGAGGAGATCGGTTTGAGGATTTTTAAGAGCTAGCTGCTACAATTAGCTGTTTTAAACCTAACCTCATACAGTTCGACTGCAAATATTTTTAAATATCTTACTTATCAAACGTTTTTGATGGTAACACTCAATCATTTGATCACCTGATGCTTGATAATCATTGTGAATTAATAGCTCGCAAAGTAATATGAGTTTGATAAGAATAATTGATGGAAAACCAGAAATAATTGTGCAAATCAGATTTACTGTAATAGGAAGGCTGTTTGATAGCAGTTTTCATTGACTCCCCCATGACACAGAATTCAGAATC